TAAAATCTTAAAAAAAAAAAAAAAAGAATGTTAATCTCCCTGCATCTGCTGGCTTTTTCTGTTTTAGGCTTGAGTTCAGAACTAAACAATTCGAATTCTTGTGCTAGGTGGTTTTGATTCTCATGGTTACAAAGCAGTAGGTTGTTACTGTAACTAACTTGACATAAGTATGTAAATGAACAATGACATGAAGAGTCTGAATGTGAATTTAGGTCTGAACTTTATTTTACAGGGTTGGTTGAACTTTTGTAATTATACATACTAACAGATTCCCTATTATAATGGTTAAGAGTTCAGATTCTGGAACCAAACTCCCAGGATTTTTGCCAACTTATCACTTACTAGCTCTTTGTCCTTGGACAAATCACTTGATCCCTCTGTACCTTTGTTCCTTCATTTGTGTAATGATGATATTAAGAGTGCTGTCTCATATGGTTATTGTAAAGATTAAAAATGTAAAGTGTTAAGAACATTCCCTGGCACATAGTAAGTACTATGTAAATGATTAGCTGTTATGTTCGTGTAAATAGCTTCATTTTTTAAAAACTGCTTTTTAACCTTTCATCAGATTATTGAAAGCATTATTGAGGAGAGTCAGAAAGTACTACAGCTGGAAGATGACTCGTCGGATTCCAAAGGAAAGGGACACTCTGACCAGGCTACTGGCAGTTCTCTTGTAGCTGGAACAGATCTTAGCAATATACCTGGACTGTTAGCCATAGATCAGGTACTACAGGAAGATTCCAAAAAGGCAGAGAGTCAGAATGCAATCGAAGAAACTGAATTAGAATCAAAAAGATGTTTTCCTTCTGATGACACCTATGAGAAGTCAGTAGATGAAATCACTAAGTTAACTGAAATAAGTTCAACTGAGCAGCATAATGTGCCTGAAACTGAAACAGAAGTATTGAACAAAGAAGCCATGGAAGTCAAAGGAAGTGATGTTCTAGAACCTGTGTCCTCAAACTCTTCATCTACTAAAGATTTTGCTGCCATGGAAGAAGTGGCTCCCGCCAAACCCCCAAGACAGCTTACTCCAGAACCTGACATTGTGGCTAGTACAAAGAAGCCTGTTCCAGCACGCCCTCCCCCTCCAACTAATTTCCCACCTCCTAGGCCCCCGCCTCCATCTCGACCTGCTCCACCACCAAGAAAAAAGAAAAGTGAATTGGAGTTTGAGGCCCTTAAAACGCCTGATCTAGACGGCAAGTATTTAATTGAGAAATAACTTTTTGTGGAGAGATTTTGGAGTTGAAACTGACTTTCTGGTTTTGTTTCAGTTTATGCTGTATACAACCACATCGATGACCATGACCAAGTTATAAAAGTTATTTTAGTAATAAAAAGTGAAAATGTTTATATTGGTAGTAAGTTACTGTGTTCGAACATTTTAGTAGACTTCAAACTTTCAAATCTGTTACCATTGGAGACTTAAGATCTGAATTCAAGATGTAGATCTCCTCGTGTATAAGTTGGATAGCTTTGAGGAATTGAAATAACTTGTTTGAGCCCTGGTTTCTCCATATGTAAAATGAGAGTAATAAAACCACTTTCTCATGGGATTGTTGTAAGAATCAGACAAAGGTTAAAGCACTTTTCAAGCTCTGTATAAGGTCCTATATAAATACTAGTTATTGCCATTATCATCATCATCATTATTATTATCATCATCGTCATTGCAGTTCCCAAAGAGAATATTACATCTGATACTCTCCTAAGTACGAACATGGCTTCAGAGAATACAGTCAAGGATTCTCAGCCTTCTCTTGACTTGGCAAGTGCTACCAGTGGAGATAAAGTAGTTACTGCCCAGGTTGGTGAATTCATGTTATATTTGATAGAGGCTTTAACAACTTTCTGTAGCTGTCTGGTTTGTTGCTTGTTGAACCTTCTTCTCCAGGCAGAATATTTCCTTGTCCGTAAAACCTGGCCTTCTTATATCCCTTTTTTAGCTGTGCTACTATATAGCTAGGTGATTCTAACCAACTATTTAATATCTAAGTTTCAGATGTCCCATTGATAAAATGAGGGGAAAACCTTCCTTGAAGGTATCTTGGAAGGATGAAATGAGCTAAAGTATGCCAAGTACCTGGCATGCAGTAGGCAATCAAAAAAAATGAAAGTTGCTACTATTTGTAATATTATTATAATGTTAATAAACATCAACTACAGTCTTCATTTACCTTACCTATGGTGGTCAAAACTGAGGACTTTTATTTACAATTTCCTTTACCTAATCATGAAAAAAACCCTTCATATACTAGGCTATATATCCATATATGAGGCAATAGAAAGCACGTGATAGCATGAATTTTTACCATAGCCCAGTTTCTGGGACTCAAGGCTTACTTACACGGTAGCAGTGGTACGGACAGGTTAGCAGACTGGGAGATAAGGCCCTTCAGGCCTGTCATAGCCTTAGAGCAGAGACTGGCAGTAGCCTGTCTTCTAGAGTCCCTGAGCTAAGAATGGTCTTTACATTTGTAAAGGAGTGTAAGGAGAAGAAGAAAAAAAAAAAGAATATGTGACAGATAATATATGTGAAGCAGAAAGCCTAAAACATTTACTCTCTGGCTCTTTATAGTAAAAGTTTGCCACCCCCTGCCTTCGAGATAAGCACAAGTATATCCCTGATTAATGGCACTCTTCGTGCCGGCACTCTGCTAATAGAGAACTGCTTTTGGGTCACATTCAAGTAGAACATCTATTTGCTTTCAAGACTAAGACATTATTTCATGGGCAGCAATGGTTTTGATACCTAATGTTTTTCAGCATGCTGGGAATAATAAAGGACCGAAATGGAGTGTTTCATTTAAATTTTCAGTAGGCTCCATTATGTGAATTATGGGATTCTTTAGAACTGTGTGTGGTAATGAATAATTGAGTGTTTATAGCAATTGACTCCGTCTACTTTCTGTTTATAAAATTGTAATTTTAGGAAAATGGAAAAGCACCTGATGGGCAGACCATAGCAGGTGAAGTGATGGGCCCTCAGAGACCTAGATCCAACTCTGGGAGAGAGCTTACTGATGAGGTATAGTTAGATTCTTTTTGTTCTTAACATAAAATATAAAAATCATAATGAGAAGATGAAGAACCTCCCAAGATGAATGGTGGTAATGGTTGCACAGCATTGTGAATGTGCTTAATACCACTGAGCTGTACAACTAAAAATATTTTACCATGATTAAAAAAATTTAAGTTTATTGCTGTTAAGCAAAAAAAAAAAAATAATGTAGAAGAAAAAATGAAAGTTGATGATTTTCTTAGGTTTTAAAAATTTATTTTATTTTTTTTAAGTAAACACTACACCCAATGTGGGGCTCGAACTCACACCCCAAAATCAAGAGTTACATGCTGTACTGACTGAGCCAGCCAGGCATCCCAGTTTTGGGGGGTTTTTTGTTTGTTTTTTGGTTTTGTTTGTTTTTAAAGATTTTTAATTATTTGTTTATTTATTTATTTGAGAGACAGAGATCGTGACAGAGAACACAAGTGGGGAAGAGAGAGAGAAGCAGGCTCCCCGCTGAGCAGGGAGCCCGACTCAGGGCTGGATCCCAGGACCCTGGGATCATGACCTGAGTCAAAGGCAGATGCTTAACTGACTGAGCCACCTGGGCGCCCCAGTTTTTGTTTTTTTAATATGTTGGAGTTTGCCACTCTAACTTAAAAGTACCTTTTTATACCATTATGTGGTAGAACAAATGTATTGAAAACAAAGCCCAAACTTAATAGAAGGTGGGCTTAAAAAGAACTTGATGTTAGATGTTTTTATACTTGTTAGGTGATGTACAGTATATGCAGACTCAGTGCTTACTTACCATTAAAATTTAGTATACATTGAATGACCAATTTATTCTGAATAAAGTTTTGAAGCAAAATCTTAGTTTTCATGTCTTTTTTTTAAAGATTTTTTTTTTTTAAGTAATCTCTACATCCAACATGGTGCTCAAACTGCACCCCAATATCATGAGCCACATGCTCCACCAACTGAGCCAGCCAGGCGACCCAGTTTTCATTTCTTTTAAATGATACATTTTAAAAAATTATTGTACTTTGGAAAACAGTATGGCAGTTCCTCAAAACATTAGACATTGAGTTACCATGATCCAGCAATTCTACTCCTATGTATACACCAAATAGAAATGAAGATATATGTCCACACAAAAAACGTACACAAGTGGGGCGCCAGGCTGGCTCAGTCAGTTAAGCATCTGCCTTTGGCTCAAGTCATGGTCTCAGGATCCTGCGTGGGGCTCCCTGCTCAGCAGGGAGTCTGCTTCTCCCTCTGCCCTTCCCCTCCCCCTGCCGGTGCTTGCGTGCTCTCTCTCCTCTCTGTCTCTCTCTCAAATAAATAAAATCTTTAAAAAAAAAAAGTACACGAGTATTCATAATAGCCAAGTGTGGAAACAACATAAATGTTCATCTCCCATGAATGGATGAATAAAATGTGATATATCCAATCCACATGGACTGTTTTTTGGCAATTAAAAGGAATGAAGTTCTGACACATGCTGCAGTGTGGATGACCCTGGAAAACATGGTGCTAAGCAAAAGAAGCCAATCACAAAAGACCACATACAGGATGATTTGATTTATATGAAATGTCTGTAATAGGCAAACCATAGAGACAAAACGTAGAATAGTCGTTGCCAGGGGCTGGGAGGGGAGGGGAATGAGGTATGACATTTAATGGGTATGGGGTTTCTTTTTGAGGTAGTGGAAATATTCGAAACTTAAATAAAGGTGATTGTTGCACAACTCTGAATTTACTCAAAATCATTGAATTAAATGAGTGCATTTTGCAATGTATGAATTGTATGTCATGAAAAAAGATAAAAATTACTGTACAGAGTACTACTGAAGGTGTCTAGAAAGTCCTTAGCTTAAATGAGGATTTTGCAGACTCAAAAAGTTAATTAAATTATAGGTCCTCTTGGTGTTATTTTTTACCTCAGGAAATTTTAGCCAGTGTCATGATTAAGAACCTGGATACTGGAGAAGAAATACCTTTGAGTCTTGCGGAAGAGAAACTGCCAACAGGTATTAATCCTCTCACTCTACACATCATGAGAAGGACTAAGGAATATGTAAGGTATGGCCTATTGTTATTATTTATCATTTGTAGTATTTCAGAGTGGTGAAGATTTCTCTGTTTATGAACTATAATAGTCCCTAATTTGGTTTCATTCAGTCTTCTTTTTTTAAATATGGAATTAAAATAGAGTTAGTTTATGTATTCTTCAACATTGTTCTCTCTCAAGACCATACAGCTATTTGTGGAAAATAGTATATATCTGAAATCTCATAGTATTTTGTTTTTCTTTTAAAATGATTTATTTAATACTAGAGACATTAGTGAAACATATTGAGGGTAAAAAGCCATGTGGAATGAAGATCTGGTTTCTGAAACCTTGCTTTAAGGACCACAGATTTTATAAGTATTATAATACTTATTATCTACTTATAATACGTATTACCTTTGTAGGTCAGAAAATGGCTTTAGAGAGGTGATTGACTTTACTGTGAGATGTATGTAGATCGAAGAAATGATTATTGTGAAAGCAAATCTCAATAAAGTGTAATACATGATGTACCTGAAGAGCGAAGAGGTAGTTAATTTGTCATTTCTGTGCAGCACGTTTTGTCCAACAAAAAGCCTTGTTGGTAGTAGGTTTTCCATAAGTTCCTAAATTGCTTTCACTTGCATTTTGTACATTAAACCGTGCTTAAAGATTCTATTCTTTGATCTCTCAAGTCTTACATTCTGAGGATCATTAAAATTAAACTTATATAAAGTATGTTAACATAGTTTTATTCTGAGTACCTGAGTATATAGTATACATGGATTGTTGAGAGGTGTAGGGGAAATGGCTTCTTTTAAAATGACTTCTTCCCCTCCTTGTAGTAATGACGCGGCACAGTCAGATGATGAAGAGAAGTTACAGTCTCAGACAACAGATACTGATGGTGGAAGGTTAAAACAGAAAACGTGAGTTACAGTACATCTCCTTTCTTTTTTTTTTTTTTTTTTAAAGATTTTATTTATTTATTCATGAGAGA